CATTTCCAGTAATACGACACTCACCATACAAAACATTGCTGTAATCAGCTGCTGTTTTACGCTGGTATACTATGAGAGTGTGGTCCTTCCCCGGTCGAGTCGATACATTCGTGCTAGAACCAATAATATAGCTTCAGCTCGGCTTTGCCATGGTTAAAAACGGTATTACATTTACTATCAATATTTGTAACGTGCGGCCTATTCTATCGAATTTGCGCTAATATAACGATAGCAAATTTTACTGCCACCTGTAGTGGCCTATTCGTTCGAATTAGAATTTGAATTATCGCTATTTGAATAACCAAATCGACAGCAAATAGGCGAAATAGTGATATTAAATTATACCATTAGGTGTTTCTGTAGAAATAGGTATGCGATGACGAAGACACAGGAGGTTGTGTGAATCGTCTTAACTCTCTGGGATGCTGGAAGAACACAATTTGGATCAGACCCAATTTGTGAAATCTTTATAAGCTTGGCCTGACTTACTCTAGAAACCCTTATATCTGTTAAGGTCGAGTCTAATACACTAGGTTTAGCTTCATTACAAAACTTAAGTCTTCCGGGCGTATGATCTTAAATTTGCTTCAGAAGACTTAGGATGAAGTATGAATGAACTAACAACTAAAATTATAAAAAGCTGCGGTTGTCATCGTGGCTGCCACGCGTGGCAACTATGGGAAATATCCATCCTACACAAAGAAAGAACTGCACATTTTGACTGCCCGCAAATGTAGCATCCATCTAGGGAACTACTTACTAAGCCCAGAGAAAGTGACAGACCACACTGCTTGCGCAACTCCTAAAATTCTTAAAGTGTAGGGCTGAGCATATCCAAAGCAGCTATCACATTGGATCATACGTTCGTAGGTCGCAGTGATACTAGTCTTGCAATATGACCATAAGGCAAGCTAACAGTGGTAGAGCCACGCGGCAGCTCTTGCTGTCGCACGGATGGGCCGGCTCGAACCGGGGTGGTACCACGACCTCACAGAATACCAGCGTGAAGTAGAGGTTTACCTCTGCGTTTCGTTTGGTGAGTGCAGGTGGCCGGAGGCTCTTTTTACTGGAAATGAGGCATTCCATCTTAGTCCTCACGGGTGACAACGCATCTGCATTTTGATTCGCAAACGAGGATAGATGTAGATGTCTATGGGCCGCAGCAACCACTTACCATCAGGTGGACTGTGTGCTCGTTTGTCACCCTTATCCTATAAAAAAAATAAACTGACTCAAGGATAGATATAGATGTCTATGGGCTTCAGCATCCACTTACCATCAGGCGGACTGTGTGCTCGTTTGCCACCCTCATTCTATAAAGAAAACCTATAGGTACATTATATATGTGTATAGGCAAAATAAGTCGCATGAATCATAATTTTTTAATTTCCAGTTAATATGTTCTATAATATGTATCCTTTCATTCCATCCTAAATTAATCACCAAGCGAATCTGACTGGATCGCAGCATCACGTAGCTTATGTTGCATCAGACAAAAGGTTAGTTATTAGTTAAGTATTTACGATAACTTCAGGATCCTCGACTCCGGTTCATAATGACGGGACTTTGATTTGCGTAAGTATTTTACCAAGATTTGCTACGAGCGAGCTGGAACAGAAATTTCTTCAAAAAAACAAGGTTGGTACAAAGAACGCCGTAAGAAAAATATATGTAATCTTTTTAATATTATCGTTAATTGAAAAATTATAATAAAAAACTAAAACTTAAATTATCATCCAGTCCTACGCCCGGCGGTATCGTGCCCAGAACGCTGTCTGCGTTGAGAAGAGAACCGGCCCTCTTATCGCCAACAGCGGCGACTAGTCGCGGATACAGTTCCTTTACGATCTTCACCGCACGTCAATCACACGAACCGATTTTCAATTGAACATTCCTCATTATTAGCCTGTAAAAGTCGCCATTTACGACACCGTCGGGACGAAATTTGACAATAGATTCTTTAACGTTTAATTAAATATTTATTTTCATGAAAAATAATTAATTTGTATAATATGCTTTGTGATAGCTCTATTCTGAAATGTAATTAGAGTTTCTTAAGTTTTCTAGTGCCCGTTTATAAATATAGAAATAGATTCGTACATCTCACCTTATTGATATCACCATAATATTTATTTCTGTTAGTTTGATTGTTGATTAAGTTTATTTTTACTACAATATCTGTGATAATATTATATAACAAGAAAAAAAATAAAAAAAATTCTACAACCGACTTCAATATTAATAAAGTGAGAACATCATCAATGTAGTTGAAGTCAATTAAATAAGCATTATTAAGGCTAACTCAAAAACTACTGGTCAGATCTTGATAAAATTTTTGTGGCTCCACATGAGAAGCACCAGCTTTCAAATAAAAAAGAATCAGCACAAAATTAATAACTAAAAAAGGTGAAGGTACTCCGGGGTAACTCTGGCATGACCCGTGACCATGCACCCGAAACATCGGGAAATAATAAAAAAAAGTTAATTAAACGCGATAGAATCCGTAAAAGCAGTTTTATTAAAAAAAAAGAATCATCAAAATCGGTTCACCTAGAAAAAAGTTCTGAGGTAAACATAAAAATAAACAATAGGTACAGTCGAATTGAGAACCACCTCCTTTTTTGAAGTCGGTTGAAAACGTTGGTGCTGCGGTTCAAATCTTAGATTTGAAGAATACGAAGGACTGTATTGATGGCTGATGGAGCATATTAAGTTGTATTGGATGTCCTCATTTAACACTTCATACAACCCACACGCGGTAGAGCAATTGATTCCTATTGAAGCCCTAATAGTACAATCAAAAACATTCCATTACTAAATATTTGCTTATATTTCTCTTAAAAATGTGTTTTTTATTGTTTTCTTTGTATTTTCATAAGCCAATACGACCTTAAAATATTTGTTTCGAACTGGATGTGCCCGGAATGTTTTTGTATATCCCAAATTTATGAGTTCGCAGAAAATTTCTTTGATTCAATTTCCATTTGCTTTTGTCAAAGGGATTCTTAATATTTTTCCCGCTTTACATCAACTGGGGAAATACTTCCGTACCCAATAAATTCTCTCGGGCACACATTTAATCATTTTCTGTGTTTAGTTGTTATATCAAGTAATATTTGGTTGACAAGCAACAGCCCTAATTATCAAGGGACTGCAAATATAAAAGTCCGTGGTGCAAATCCGCCATTTCACTACTACTGATGGAGCCTTATTAATGTCCTCCAGATCGAATTCTGTCACGGCAGGTTAAAAGTTTTTTCTTTCTTTCTTTGATTCTCATTATTGATTCACACTTTCAGGTTTCCTGAGGTGGTTTTTCTTCAATTGCAATTAACAAGCCTTATTTGCCCTTAGTCGATCTATTCATACATATAGATAGGAACACAATATCTCCGAGATTAGAGAACACGAGAGTTTTGTCCCATATAGTGAATTTAGTTTTAGTTTTTGTTATAATATTATGTACAAGCGACCCTCCCCGGCTTTTAACTGGATGGGAGAGGATGATTAGATGTAAGATCATTCATTTCATCAATATAATTTTTTGTAATGAACAAGTTTTTCGGATTAAATAACAACCTTCTAGCATTGCCCCTATCTGTTAGAGAAGTTTCATTACAATCGGTTCAGTCATTCTAAAGATTAATCTGGACAGACAGACTATTTTTTTTGGAAATTATAGACATAATTCAATGTTATTTAATGTAAAGAATTTAAATAGCATAACGTTCTAACAAACATTTATGACAGATGAGAGAGCAGTTTCTATCAAACGGTTAACATTTAATATGTTCGTCGTCACAACTGATGACCCTTATCGCTATGTTAATAAGATTGGCGGGTTCCCTCGCTCCGATAAACAATTCGTGCGCAGTTCGCAATTCAATTCTGTCTTTGTCAGAGGTCTAATGAGGTGAAAACGTGTTCCAGCCCGGGAATGTCATCTGTTCTGTGTCTACGTCTGAATTCACTATATCTACATAACGTCTGCTCTGTTCGGTTTCTTATTCATTTAGCTTTTTATTATTATTGATTGGAATTGAATTGTGACGATTAAAGTTGATCTGGTTGACATTAATTTCACATTTTTCAAAGTTAAATGGATAGGTTGCATCCTTTTGCATCCCGTCTAATTCGCCTGATTCTTATACTAAGATAGTAAATTCGCCTACTAAGTGTAATTATACGTGGTAGAGCCATGCTGCAGCAATATTAGGAGTATAGTTGTAGCACGAATGGGTCGGCTCGACCGGGAAAGGACCACGCTCTCACAGAATACCAGCGTAAAATGACAGCTTGACACTGCTGTGTTACGTATGGTGAGTGTAGAGAATCGGAGACCCATTTTACTGGAAATGAGGCATTCCATCTTAGTCCTCACGGGTGACGACGCGTCTGCATTTTGTTTCTTTGTTGAGGATAAATGTAGATGTCTATGGGTCACAGTAACCACTTACCATCAGGTGGACTGTGTGCTCGTTTATCACCCTATCTTATAAAAAAAGTGGTTAAAGTAAAATATTTCTGCAATGGGAGATGTCAAGTCAGCACGACGATGGTTATATGCATAGTAAAATTAACTTACAATAGGTGGCGCGCATGTCATACCGACAAATTTATTTGAAAGTTATATATCGTTAATTTCAATGAATGTATTATCCTCATGCCTAATTAAACAATATAACTGTTCCAAATTTAAAACGATTTTTTATAATTATATCATATGCGGCAGCAACGCGCCGAGTACCATCTAGTTTCTAATAAAAAATACTTCCTAAAATAGTATTAAAGAGTTTGTGAAGCTAAGAAACTATCACTTCTGACGTGCAGTCCTACGACTGACAGTCTTTTTTATGGAATAAAGGTGACAAACGAGCATACAGTCCACCTGATTGTAAGTGGATGTTGTGACCCATTCATATCTTCATTTGTCCTCAATAAAGAATCAAAATGTGCATGCGATTTCACGCCTGAGATAGAATGCCTACACACCACATATAATGGATTTCCACAAAGTAACGCCTGTATCTATTAAATTATCTTTAAAAAATACTGTAAAGTTAAGTTGTACTCAGCATCCGGTGGTCTCCACAGACGTGGCAGTGAGATGGGTGGGTCCTGCGCGCGCGTGGCTTGCGTGCTCTGCCGGCGCGGAGCCGCGCCGCCCGCCGCCGCCCCTCGACGATGCGCGCGCCCGCCCCAAGCCCTACTTCTGGAGACGTGATGGGGAAGAGGTCAACCCCAAAAGGTATGCAACATACACTGTTATATGAACTATCAGAGACCACCTCAGGCATCGCCTGGGTACGATAATTTACATATTAATGTAGCATTATGTAGATTTAAAAAAAAGATTTGTCTCAGCGCTCAGCTGGTCGATATAGGGTATCATTATACTACGTAGATAGGCACAAAAATTATAACATCCACAATATGAAGCTTAGTTTTCATATTTATATTGACACACAAGAATACATTTTATTATTTATTTATTTCGTTTAGAGCCGAGGCGGCTTCAGAGGCAGCTGAACTGAGTAAGTGGCGCAAATATGAGTCTCTGAGAGATGACTACATATTTGTGCCATTTGCTGTAGAGACTATCGGTCCGTGGGGTCCACGTGCGGTGAAGTTCCTAAAGGAACTCCATCCGCGGCTGGTCGTTGCTGCTGGTGATAAGAGGGCTGGTTCTTTCCTCGCTCAAAGGCTAAGTATAGCCATTCAGCGAGGAAACGCAGTCAGCGTTCTTGGCACGATACCGCGGGGAGTAGGACTATATGATAATTAAGTTTCTAGTTTTAGTTTTTTTTTATTATCATAGTTTTTAATATTGTAGATAAAATTAAGTATTATGTATGATTTTATTATTTAAGAAAAATAGGAAATAAAATACAATGGCAACTTATTAACTTGTTATTTTATTAAACTCTTGTTTTGGGAAGATTTTGTACGTTGTTAGAAAGGGCGATTTACTTTTCTCGTTGAATATTATATCAAAACTTAATCATATTTTTTCCAAATATTAACTAAATTAAAACAAAAGGTGTCATAGAGAAGTTTTCAGAAAATTAAAATTGTGTAGGTAAAGATACCAAAGAGTGCGCAGTTTTGACAGATTTATTTTTAAAATAATCAACTTTTGAGTTAAGTCTTCAATTTTACTTATAATTAGGCTTTGGTTCTTTAGGAACACTTTTTTTTTACTCTTATTATTAATCAACATACATTAATATTTAATAATTAATAAAAACAAGGACGTGTCTCACGCGCACTCTTAAGGTACAATGACTTAAAGAGTGCGCATCCATGGCTCTTAGTACTAGTTAAGAGTACGCATGAGGGTAATGGAAGCTTTGTCCATGGTGAAACATCTACTTTAACCAAGGCAAACGTCACACTTAAAAACTCCGAATCCTAGATAGTCAGAGCACTCATCGTGCCACCAAGCCCCACACTGACTACATTGGATCCAGTCTTCATCTGGAGGTTCTACGTAGACTTCGGCACAAAGGGGGCATCGAACAACTTCTGTACCCGTACTTGTTTCCAGCAGTGTTGGTCTATTTGGTGTCGTAGATTTATTTTTATTTGATGTCTTCTTTGTCTTCTTGGCCTTTTCTTCTTTTTCTTTTTGTCCTGCTTCTATTTGATTTTTATAAGGAGAACTGGTAAGGATTTCTGATTTCTTACGTTTTATGTTTCTTTTTTTCTGAATGTTTGACTTTGGTAATGGTAAGATGTCTTCTGGTCTAAGAAAAGATGATTTGGATGGTGTTGGCTCGTCATTTTCTGGTGTTGTTATTACTTCCTGGTGATTATCAGTTGATTCAAGGGTTTCGGTTCCTCCGAGTTGAGATAATGCTATAACTGGAGCTGAAATATTAGTATTGACGGGTATAGGTGACGAGACAACTTGGGTAACAGTTTCTGTAGTTGTAAGTGGCAATTCAACAGCTAGATTTGAACTATTAAGGGCTTCGCCTGTACTTGAAGTTTCTGCAGTTGGATTGGGACGGTCAGTGACATTTGCAGGAGCAAAATCTTCATCGGAAAAAATCTGATCGTTAAAAGGCCAGATGCCACAAGATTCGAATGATTTCTTGGCTCTGTCAATTGAACCAACCTTAAGGTATGCAGTGCCAAATAGTCGAGCAACTTGATATTGAGTTATAGCACGACCTGGATTTGAAACTTGCCAATTGTCACATGCAACTGCATAAGCTTTTTTTAATGGTCCAAAAAATCCTGTATCCAAACTCTGCATGCGATGGCTTGTGTGTGGTGCTAAGCTCAAAAGAACAACTCTATGATCCCTAGCTAATTCAATAGCCTGTAAACTTAAATGAGATGAATGATTATCTAAAATCAAAAGAGCAGGTTCATCTTTAGATGGCTTGACCATCTTAATGAAATGATTGAGCCAGATTATAAATAGATCTGAGTTCATATAACCAGAATCGGATACAAGCTGTAGGGAGTCCTCTGGAGCTCCATCCATCAATTCGGGTTTTTGCCGCTTTCTAGGAAAAATTAATGCAGGTGGTACGAATATTCCAGTAGCACCCATACAACAAACAGCCGTTACTGTTTGTCCACGTTCTGCGGACACAACTTTTCCTACAATTTTCTTGCCTTTTTTAGCATAAACTTTAGGTAACTTGTTTGGCACTGTCTGGAGGCCAGTTTCATCCATGTTGAAAATTTGTCTGCCAACAAATTTGAAGGTTGTAAGTACTTGTTTTAAATTATCATAAAATCGTTGCACTTGTACACGATTGAATCCTGCAGCACGTGCCAAACTTGTTTTTTCAGGTTGACGGAGACTGAAGTTATGCCGCCTGGCAAAGTTTTCGACCCATTTCTTGCTAGCTTCCTTTTTATCATTATTAAATCTATGATTAAGACCGTTTTTATTTGCTAAATCATAAGCGACTCTTCCTAGCTCCTTCTTCGTCAGACCATAAAAACATAAATCCAAGCGTCGGCAGTGCTCTGCCAAGTTACTGTCTAATTCAGGAGTAAATACATTTGAAAATCTACCTAAAGAGCAAGGAACAGTGCCTGCTTTTAGTCTTTTTCTTAGAGTCGATTCTGGGACATTCAAAGACTCTGCAACTGATCTTTGACTTTGCCCACGGCGTATTCTTTCCTTTGCGTCTTTTAAAATTTCTTCAGTAAATACCAATTTTCTATCTGATTTTCTTTTATAACTTGACATATTTGCGATCTATAAAAAAACAAAAGATAAATAATTAAAAAAGCTACTTTGTTCCCCATGAGTTACTACCTAAGAGTGCGCATGCGCACTCTTTAGGTGCGCACTCTTAAGATTCACGCTAATTCGATTGGTTATGACAGTTACAATCATTCCAACAAGATCGCATTTATAACCTTACTTAATAGCAAAATATAATAACCAAATTTCAAGAATAACTCACATATTCAGGTGGCACCCTTATGCAAATCTTGTAATACGTCTTCGAAATTGTTGATAAATAAGATTAAAAGTACTCAAAACCTTTAAATTGCAATAATCAAACTAATAAATACCGCACCAACTTGAAAGCGTGTCTACTGATTCCAAGCGTCACTGTCCAACTGACAGTTAGCGCAGTGCTGCCATGTGTTGAAATTTCGTACCATTTAAAAGCTGTGCGTACTCTTTGGTAGTGCGTACTCTTTGGTGTCTTTACTATATAGGTGACAACACAGTCTATGTGCTACGGCTTGACATCGCTACTCTCATTTCTTGCTCCGCGTTGATCTTTCAGCAATATTAGCTAGTTATTTTGTACCAGCGAGTACCTAAGTTTAGTTTTCGGAGAATGGTAAACACGAGCGCCTCACGTGCTTAATCTGCGGTGCACCAGAGAGTCATCATCATCATCATCATTATTACAGCCCTTCACAAGTCCACTGCTGAACATAGGCCTCCCCCAAGGAATGCCACAAGACACGGTTCTGAGCCACCTGCAGCCATCGACTTCCTGCATGTCTTACCAGTTCGTCACTTCATTTAGTGGGGGGACGCCCTACACACTCCGAGCATAGCCCTCTCCATAGCTCGCTGAGTAACCTTGAGCTTCCTCATCCAGCCAGCAGTGAAGGGCCACGACTCAGTTCCAAAGGTCATCACTGGCAACACGCACTGGTTGTACAGTATCTTTTTTAAGTTTTGAAGTATACCTGACGAGAAGATGTGCCGTAATTTCCCGAACGCTGCCAAACCGAGTTGAATTCGTCGTTTGACTTCTCGGTCGAAGTTGGACTTACCTAGTCGGACTATTTGTCCCAGGTAAACACACTCGTCAACAACTTCGAGCTTAGTGCTAACAACAACTTCGAGCTTAGTGCTAACCCAACAACTACCGGCATAGGTGTGACATGGACATTAAACTTGATCTTTGTTTTGTCCATGTTCATCTTAAGACCTATCCGTTGGGAGACACTTTTGAGGTCATTGAGCATAGTGCTTAGGTCCTCCAGCGACTCTTCCATAAGGACTATATCATCGGCAAATCGAAGGTGAGTGATGTACTCGCCATCGATGTTATTACCGTATCTTTTCCAGTCCAGTAGCTTGAAGACGTCGTCCAATGCAGCGATGAAGAGTTTCGGGGATATAACGTCACCCTGTCTTACACCTCTCTGCAATTGGATAGGTTTCGTACTCTGGTTCTGTACTCGGACAGCCATCGTAGCTCTACTGTCCAAACACTTCAGCACTTAGATATACCGACATTCAACTTAGCACCGCTGCAGGGACTGTAGCGCCCAAATTTCAACGGAATCAAAGGCTTTCTCATAGTCCACATACGCAAGGCAAAGTGGCAGATTGTACTCTTCTGTCTTCTGTACAATTTGTCGAAGGATGTGTATGTGATCTATGGTACTATAGCCGTTTCGGAAACCGGCTTGTTCGGGAGGCTGGAAGTCGTCAAGACTGCGTGCGAGACGATTCGTAATGACTCTCGAAAACAGCACGTAGACGCGGCTCAGGAGGGAAATCGGTCTGTAGTTCTTCCAGAGAGCGTTGTCGCCTTTCTTGAAGAACAAGACCACCGCACTTCTGCTCCACGCCCATGGAGTAGGCTCCCCATGGAGGACGGAATTAAAGAGCTTCTGAAGGACGTCAAGTACCAGTTTTCCACCCGCTTTCTGAAGCACCGCTGTAATTCCATCCTCGCCCGGGGACTTGCCGTTTTTAAGGTGCTGGAGAGCCATTCTAATCTCGCTCAGACTGAAGTTCGGAATATCTTCGGAATAGTATCGGCTAAGACTCGCTCTTGAATCGTTACTCACACTTACGTGTGGCTCCAACGATGATGTGTACAGCTGCCCAAAGAACCTCTCAATCTCACTGAAAATCTCAGGTGTCGCGGAAACGATGCTGCCACACTCGGTCTTCAACTTTGACAGTTGGCTCTTTCTGGCAGACAGATCTCTGGCAAAGACTTTGGAGCCTTGGTTCCACTCGATCGCTTCTTCACCAGAGAGTACCTACTATTATGTATTCTGTGCCAGAGAGCCGCAACGTACACTTTGGGAACCCCTGGTATAGATCATTGAATATTTTTACACACATAGCCAATTTAATTTCAACGAAAGAGACCCTTTCGCATCTGCTTCTAACAAGATTAGTCTTTCTAAATAGCTCGCTATGCCTGTAAAAGCTCTCGATTTTTTGAACGGTCGCACAAATTAATCCCGCCGATCAGGCTCAAATTCAATTTAAACTGACGCGAACCTAAATCCAAAGATTGATTTCGAACCGATAGCCAGATGTCAGCAGCAGTCGAATTTTACTGCCCTTTATTAATTTCATTATTGTTCTATTGAAATAGTTTTCTTTTTAGATTTTTGTGACGTTTAATAGTAATAATAATTAGAGTACACTATCGCCTTATGACGAGAACCTCGTGAAAGCCGAAACGGTAAGCGAACAGAATATCTAGGTTCGACCGACTGGTAATAGACATGTGGGGTGGTCTGCCGATCGAAATTATTCCTGTAATCGTTTCCGCAAACTGGTTGATCTCGGTCAGCCTCCCGACGTACTTTATTTCATTTCACCTCAGTTGACCTTTCAGGTAAATGAAATAAGGTATATATTCTTTCTTCGACGTAGGAAAGTAAAATAAAGTACGCTACGAATATATTTGACTTATTTTACTTTCAGGTTGGCTAGTTTCGGGTGGATAAACGGGATAACGCAAAATTTCGAGTGTCAAATGTCATTTTTTCAAACTGCGGTTCCTCTGACCGAATTAAAAAAGACGATAGAAACTCAGCTTGTATCTTCTCTCTATTTGCCTTCTTTTTAACTGAATATTACAATAGCACACATAAAGTTAAAGTTACAGCCTATATACGTCCGTGCTGCAAACTTAGTATACGAAAACGTGACGTGGTATTTATAGTATATTATAATACTAGCCGCTGGGAGCCGTGGTAGCTCAGGGGCTAAACGCTCGCTGTAAATTTCACAGTATGACAGCATCCCGGGTTCTAACAAGCCGGCACCAATGAAATTGTTAATTTCAATTTTAAGTGCTGATTTACCACGTGCTCGGCAGTGAAGGAAAACATCGTGAGGAAACCTGCATGTCTGATAAATAAGAAAAAAATAATATTTCGAACACATGTGAAGTTCGGCAACACTCATCACATTCGGAACAGCACGAAGAAAACCGCGAAGAAAGAAAGAAGAAGACATCACAGAAATGAAAGGATGCCAGTGCCCAGCAGTGGGACGTATATAGGCTGTAACTTTAACTTTAATACCTACAACAAAGTTATGGAAACATGCAGAATTCGTCACTACGTTTCAGTGAAGGTTAATGTACTTTTAAAACTTTCCTCATAGCCTGACTACTTCTGACTTCTCTTTTTTATAAAACTGAAGTAACAAACGAACTTACGGTCCACTTCTAATAAAGAAGACTGACAGATGTCACCTCTGAGTTGTCATGTCTGAGGACTTGGATGGAATGCCTTACAGCTTGTGATTATACTGGCTCTGTATGTTCTCCTGGTACTTTAATTTTCCGCGTTGTGATATGCTAAGGAATTTTCGACATTTAACACGTTCTCATTTGTCTCTTTGTTTCAGGATTTCTTTAAATGGGACGCTGGAGGTGTCTAAAAAGCGCGACGGTGGTGGCGACGGTGTGTACCAGTGTGGAGTGCGCTACCATGCTGGGGTGGTGCTAGGGAATCCCGTGCATCTTAAGTTTGCCTGTGAGTATGGAAAAAATGCTATGGTGTTGTTGTTAACTTTTTTTTATACGATAGGGGTGACAAACGAGCACAGAGTCCACCTGATAGTAAGTGGTTACTGTGGTCCGTAGACATCTACATCTATCTTCGATTACGAATCAAAATTCAGATGTCACCCGTTAGGACTAAGATGAAATGCCTCGTTTCTAATAAAAAGGGTCTCCGGTTTTCTACACTCACCATACGAAACACAGCAACGTTAAGCTGCTAACTTTCGTTGGTATTCTGTGAGAGCGTGGTCCTTCCCCGATGCAGCCGACCCATTCGCGCTACAACCCTAAAACTTAACTTTCATAGTATTATGACATGTACAACTAAATAAACTGAATAAATATTAGAAGAAGTCTCACCTAAACCAAAGCAGAAAGCCTTTCATTAAGTGGTAGGATGCCTTTATTTCGTGTAGGAGTCCGTCTTGGTTGCTACCGCTCAATTTCCAGCAGCAGTGTACATTTGGCCGTGAGAGAAAAACGGAGATTTCCCCCCGTTAAAGCGCCCATAAACGCACCGTGTAGTACGGACCTTATTCTACACAATATGAAGAGTCGTACAGAATGTTCGATAACGTAATTTAGACTTGGGTTATAGTCCGTTTACGATAAATGTGCTGCGTGCGCAAGGGCAAGTGACGCCGCTGTGTTCTCGAGAGTGAAGAGAATCATGAAAACTATGAGGTTGTTATAAACTTATTTGCTTAATTCCGCGTAAAGAAAGATAATGATGTGTCCTGCCCAGTTTTAAGGGGACCACCCTCCCACCCTCCCTCAATTGCGCGCACTATACCCGTCACCGTTAATCCCAGCACTACCACCCCCAGCACCAGCACACTAGGCACGACACACCACTCTCGAAAATACGACACGTGTTTCGCCTCTACACGAGGCATCCTCAAGGTGAAGTAGACTCTGCGGAGGCTGGCCCCATAATAATGGATTTCCGCAAAGTAACGCCTGATTCTATAAATTATCATGAAAACTATCAAGATAAGCTTGATTGTAGAGGTGTCCGAAGGTTTCAGATTACGCTGGGGTCGTAACTTTCGCCGTACAGAGAAAAGGAAAGATCACCCTCCAGATAACGTGCTCAAGCTTGTTGTACTCGTATATCTATATATATATTGTTCAGTAATAAACCGCAACTCACAAAATTTATACCGAGGCACAATGATCTGCTACGATCGGAGCGCCGGTCACACCTAGTGGCAACATTGCGACGTAATATGCGTTGTAATAATCTGTGAAGTTAAAAAAAAGAGAAGAGGAGGGTAGGAGGCGAGACAAGCCATACACATTCTCTTTGTGTTCGTGATGTGAACATCTCTCCAAAAACTTTAAAAAAGGGACTACTCCAGAGTGTACCGTGTACAATCTAATTGCTAGTGTATTCTACCGTGTAGAAGAAGCTACCAGGAGCTGTCAACGTTTGCTGATCTTGGGAGGCTGGCTAGTAAGACCGTGAGTAGTTTGTTGCTGTTTTTGGTGTGATTTTGTGACTGCGGTAACTGAACGTTTCAGGGGATTTAGATTCTCAATACAGTCCACTATATCTAGTAAAATAATCCCAATCCGCCACATTTCTGGTCCTTCGAGCCGGATATATTCGAATTAGTGATCTTCGAATAATAATTTTCTACCCTTAATTCGCGTCCCGTGGACGTCATATATTTGAGTAAAACTACGCATTTAATTAATTTAATATCCCTTATTTAATTTGCCTCTTTTTTACCTGGATGTCCATTGCTCGCGGTGCGTTTATAAAGTATTAATTTTGTAATTTGTTCATAATGTCGGATAAATTACAAATAAAAAGGCAAACACTTATTTTTAAAAAGGAATACCTATTTGCTAAATTACAAAAGGTTTTCGATATCGCGAGATCCCAAATAAATGATCCCACACAAATTCAGAATTTCTTAGCCGATTATTCCGAATTGGAAAGTGTCCGCTCAAAGTTTGAAGAAACAGTGTTAAATATTATTGAAATAGATATATCATTAAAACCGGAGACAAGATTGTCAACGCGAGAATTAGATACATTTGATGAACTTTATAAGGCATGTCGGTTGCAATATTTAAGATTAAAACCGGACGAGCAGGCATCCCTCAGTAGGAAAGATAGGAGTGATGTAAGGCCGTCATTACCTAAATTACGTTTATTTGAATTCGATGGTGATATTGAGAAGTGGACCACATTCTACGATACATTTGTATCACTTGTCCACAATCGAGATTTCGATGAAATAGATAAGTTTCACTATTTGCTTTCATGTGTTAAAGGTTCGGCATTAAACATTGTTAAAAAATTGCCCATAACAGCCGCTAATTATACTGTCGTATGGCAAAGTTTATGTAATAAATATCAAGATGATCGAATACTCGTGGGTAGGTACATCGATAAAATGATAAACTTTACGCCGTTAAATAAAGATACTACCGCAAATCTTACTTTATTTATCGAAACATTCGATCACTCTTTTAAAGCCATCGAGGCATTAAAAATTAAAAATTTACATGACTATTTATTTTGTCATTTAGCCTTACGTGGGTTGGATGCGCATACTAGGAGGCTTTTTGAAGAAAATCGGGATCAAAATTCACTTCCATCTTTTTCGGAATTAATTAGTTTTGTAAATAAACAAGTTAAAGTACTCGAACATTCATCGAATAGTACGATGTCGTTACAATCAAGAAATAAGTCTATATGTAACAATTACAAAGGCAACAATAATAACCACTACAAAAGTTATTCAAAGACAGTTTTAAATACTAATGTGTCGAATTATAATAAAAATAAAAAAATAATTTGCGCGCATTGCAATCAAAATCACATGATTTATAGGTGCGATCAATTTCGTAAATTGACCGTAGATAAAAGGATTGACCGTGTCAATACCTTAAAATTGTGTCATAATTGCCTAAAAGGAAATCATGATACCTCAACTTGTAAAAGTGAGATGTCTTGTGGTGTATGTGCGTCACTACATCATTATCTATTGCATAGGGAGCCAGTGAGCGACACGCTCGTGCCAACATCCACCCGTCCATTGTGCTCTGACTCGCAAGTGCAACAAGCACTCGTCTCGTCTCAGGCTATGAGTGACTCAGAGCGTTATACGATAGATACGCTTCATTCCAATAACGCTCACTCGGGTTACGGTGTTGTATTGGGAACGGCGCGCGTGTTAGTAATTGATAGTAGCGGCCAGCTTCAATACTGCCGTGCAGTTATTGACTCTGGAGCTCAGAGCTCATTTATTACAACTGAGTGTGCTCAACGTTTGGGCTTACCTCGAAAGAAGTGTTCGTTTAATATTTATGGTCTCGGTGGAGAGGCTGTAAAAAATCACGGCATGATTACATGCACATTAAGGTCCCTACACACTGACCTACCTAGTTTTACACTGAACATGGTCGTAGTGACTAAGGTATCTGCTGATATGCCTAACGTTCGATTCCACTCGGACGTTATTAATAAATATAAGAATTTTAATTTAGCTGATCCATTATTTTATAAGCGTTCGCGTATCGATATACTATTGGGCAATGATATAGTTTCGGAACTAATTAAGGATAAACCATATATTATTTCATCGGATATACCAAGCGTGATCGATACCGCTTTCGGGTTTGTTGTAAGTGGTAAACTTTATAGCAATGATAAGGACAATTTAAAAAATTATAATTTATCAGTCTCATTTGATGAACAAGAGTCTTTAGATCAAACGTTGCGTAAGTTTTGGGAAATCGAAGAATTGCCAAGCAAACCCTCGATTAATCCTTTGGAACAATTAGCGGAAGACATTTTCGTGGCTCGTTATAGTCGTACTGAGGATGGTACCTATTCAGTGCTGTTACCATTCATACCAGACCCGCCTCCGTTGGGCGCGTCACGAGCGGCAGCCGAGCGGCGACTCTTGTTCACCGAGCGCAAGTTGAATCGTTCACCTGTATTACGACAAGCCTATTCAGAGTTCATGTGCGAATATGAAAATCTAGGGCACATGGAGCTTTATTCGGGGGACACCCCGAGCAAATATGTGATACCTCATCACAGTATACTTAAGCCCAGTAGTTCCACTACTCCTTTGCGTGTGGTATTCGATGCCTCGGCTAAAACGTCCACGAACGTTTCGCTTAATGATATTCTATTGACCGGGCCTAATCTGTATCGAGATATTGGGGCTATAATATTGAATTTTAGGTTGTTTGAATATTGTTTGATTTGTGACGTATGCAAAATGTATCGGGCAATTAAACTGAATCAGTCAGATAGATGTTATCAACATATTTTGTATCGTCATTCGCCTAACGATGCCATTGACGTTTATGAATTAAAAACTGTCACTTACGGCTTAAGTTGCTCACCGTTCTTAGCTATCCGCACCCTCTTACAGTTAGCCTATGACGAGGAAGAACGTTTCCCACTCGCTGCAAAGGTTGTGCGCGAGGGCGTGTACATGGATGACATTCTATATTCTTGTAGTTCATTGTCACAGATATCTCGGTTACAAGATGAACTTTTAGAGATGTTTAATTCCGGTGGCTTTATACTCAAAAGGTGGGCGAGTAATAGTGCAAAAGTTTTACAACGCGTTCCGTTAGAAAACCGAGAGTGTCCTGTTACATTTATGAAAGATGGTAACAAATATTCAGTCAAAGTGCTAGGTCTGAAATGGTTCCCTTTGACTGACTGTTTTTATTTCACAGTAGATAAGACTGATAAAGTAACAACTAAACGTTCTGTTTTAAAATTATTAGCTTCTATTTACGACCCCGTGGGTTTTATTTCACCGTGCATTTTCATCGCGAAAGAGATAATGCAAGATTTATGGAAGCTGGGCATAGGATGGGATGAGCAGCTGCCAACTGACGTAACTAAGCGCTGGCTTAATTACGTTGATGATCTCCCGCGACTAACGGCAATCAAGATAGATAGACATATGCTGCTACCAGAACAGACCG